GTGATTGCTGTGTGTGTGGGAGTGGTGTTCAGTATAAAACACTGGTGATATAGGGTTGCCGCCGATTGAGAGGCTTGGACGAATCTCATTGGTCGCCAACGCAAGGAATTACTGATGACGGACACTGGGGGAACATTGGTGTGAGATGATGGAGAGATGTTTGGATAGCGTAGTTGTACAATGATGGACAACTATAAAGGGAACGCAGATGATTCAGGAAGGTTTAGACCCTACATGAGTGGGGCCCATGTGGGGCAAGGCTAGCTAAGGAAGGAGAGAAATACTGAGGGTAGGCGTCCCGACCGATAGCCTGGTTAGTTCAGTAGGAAGTAGGAGAAGTTAGTAGTTAGGAGATGGGACGCGCAGGAGTATAAATAGCGCAAGACCAGAAGGGTGATGGACCAGAAGCTACTACACTATTTTTTTTTGAATTGCAGAATAAAGACTGAATTAAGCCTAGTAAAGATCCTTATGTTGTTCAGAACTACTCACAATAAAACTAGGTAGCTGAAATTGTTTTAACGATCAAGATGCCAGGAGTGAATGAGATTGAGCCGTACACAGGGTACGAATGGGTCAGCTACTCTGCTTGGGACCAGCGCGATGGGGTACTGCTGAGGGACCTCCGAGGATACAACGCGGCGAGGATCGCCAAGGATCGCCAGGAGAAGCATGCCCGAGTGATGCTGGAACGAGGAGTGCCACCACAGATGCGTTCTAGGCTGGTGGCTGTGTTGGGACCAAGCTTGATGGACATCCAACTGATAGAGTCGTCAATCGTTTCCACGGAGTCCCAAATGTTTATGGTGTGCTATGCGCAGACATCTGCCGCGCTAGGCAGGAGAGGAGACGTGATTGTACAGGAGGCGCTCAACGGATCAATGGTATCAGCGAGAGATTTGGCTTTTGTGCTGGTGGACGAGATCAGCAGGAACACTCACTTCTTGTGGAAAGAAGTAGTGAACCAGTACGAGGAAGGAGCTGCCAGGGCTGCTATAGATCCGTTTACCATGGGGCCGCTTGAAGAGGAGCCTGCGGTAGTCGCCCGGGCAGGTCGAGGGCGAGCTGGACGAGGACGTTGGTGAGGTCGAGGCAGTGGCGGGGGCAACGTTGACAGACAAGAGAGCGAGCGTCGTGAGGAGGAAGACGCAAGTGAACCGGTAAAAACTCTTGGACGTCGCCTATATGAAGGTGCGCTGCTATTCAAAGAGCAGTAGAACCCAGACGCTGCCCCTTCGGCCATTTATGACGACATCATGGATCGAGGGCGTGAAATGGTTCGAGTGCTCACGAAGCATTCGCACACTGATACGGATGTGGGCATTAGTACCCACTTAGCGGTACAAGCCTTTGGTTCAGAATGGAGCGTGTACTTGCTGGGTATGCAAAACCTGTACCCAGAGTACGGTAGAATGGTGAGCAGAGCTGTGAAAAAACTGCATGGAGCGATTCCAGATGATGCAGGCCAACACTGCGGTGCTATTCTACAAGTCCAAAGGGCTAGCAGGAGTCCTGGAGTTCTTTGCCACAGGTGAAAAGGTGGCAGAAGGACAGGCCAGACAGGAGATTCCTCGAGGAGGAGCAGGTGGTCGCGCGGGGGGTTTGCAGGACACTCTAAAGCGCAAAGAAGCGCCCACGGAATTTGGGTCGATTGTTGCGGCATTTACTGACTTACAGAAGGAAGTTAAGCACATGCGTGCGGACAAGCAATCTTACAGAGGTACTCGAGGCGGAGGCAGAGGCCGAGGCGGAGGCAGAGGCCGAGGCCAAGGTGCTCAAGGAGGCCGGAGCGGACGTGGTGGCCGTGGAGTTGGCACGAACAAGTCGGAAATAGATTGTTGGACTTGTGGCAAGTACGGCCATATGCAGCGGAAGTGTCCGGAAGCTAAAGAGGCGGATGAGAAGTGACGGGCTGCTGGTCATAATTTCGGGGACACCTCGAAGACTGTAAAGGAGGGTGAAGTTATGGCCAGCACCGAGGCTAAGTTGGGCCAGGTGGCACCGTGCCGCAAATAGGGTACCTCTGATTCCAGAGGTACCGTTAGACGAGGATGGTAACGTGGATGTTGCATCGCAGCCCCCGGAGGAGAATAGACCGATTATTCCGGATATATCTTTAGATCTGGATGAATATGTTATGAAAGATGAGGTTAAACTGGATGTGGGCAGCGTTATTGATGGTGCTCTGGAGGGTGTGCCAATTACGGTATATGTCGACCCGGGCGCCACGCCTGACCTCATTACGGAAGAGCTCGTGGAAGAAGTAGGCTTATGTCCGCAACCTTATACGGGGCAGCCATACGAATGAGTTGCAGACATGGGAACTGTGACGCCGTCCGGAGTTGTCAGTACGCCTGTGGTGCTTTGAACATGGGCAGACCGGTTGGCAAAGCCCTTTCTCGACATGTTCTAGGTGAAGTCGTTACCCATGGAAACGGACATATTATTAGGATACAAATCCATGCAGAAGCATACGTATGCCCTAGCATGGAACAAGCAGAAGCACTTTACGCTTATGCCGCAGGAAGAAGTGGTAGAGTTCTTAGTAACTCAAATGGAGGTGCCAGAAAAAAGCCCGCTGGTCAAACCCAGTCAGTGGTGCCGCAGGAAGCATAGTAAGTGGCAGCGTGTCGTAAATGAGAAGCGACGCCCGTTGCGGCGGCTAAGAGATGATAGGCTGCGTAGAGTGCGGGCGCGATTGTGAGGGCTGCAACAGAAGCAGGCTACTATAGTGGCAGCGACGGCGCACTTCCAGAAGGTGTTGACTAGGGTTGAGGCACGACAGCATGACTATACGAGGGGGCTCATGGGAGAGTGTAAGCTGCCACCAATACCTGACGAACTGGCTCCGGTAGATTTGCCAGTAGGGCAAGAAGCAGAATGTGGAGAAACGCCGCCAGCGAAAGATTGCAATGATTTTAACCAGAAGCCCTTACGACGGTTAGCGGCGAAGCTGGGTATACCACGGCAGGAGGTTGAAGCATTAATCGCAGATATTGAGTCTGTTGCGTAAGATAAGGATAACCCGACGTTCATGAACCTACCCGATGCCCGATTCAAAGTAAAAGAGGGCACCAAGCCCTGCTACAATGTGTACCATAATAAGGATCCCACCTTCAGGAAAGTGCTGTGGACCAAGGTCTATTCGTGGGACTCTGGCGGAGTTACGAAGGAGACCTCCCTCGAGAAGTCTGGGGGGTACTGTGCTATGCCGCACATGGTGTATAAGAAGCCAGGGGTCACGCCACTCACAGTGGACGACTGGCGCTGCTGTGTAAACTACAAGATGATCTACAAAGTGTTGCACTGTGAACCATACCCTGTGCCTACTGAGCGACAGTTCTTGTCTCCATACGGGGTAAGAGGTATCGGACCTTGATAGACTTAGGCCAAGGGGGTTGTCAGCAGAAGGTGGCAGAAGACTCACAGAAGTTTACGACGTTTTGGACGCCATGGAAGTTGCAGAAGTTGTAGGGATGCCTTTCGGGCTCAAGCCGGCGTCGTGGATTATGCAACAGCGAATGAAGTACGCATTTTTCTCGGTTGAGGATCTCAGTATTTATATTGATGATATGGGCATGGGGCACGATGACACGCGAGACCACAGGAATGCAATTGTTAAGCTGGTGGCGGCATGCAAGGAGAACAACGCCAAGTTATCGCTATCTAAGTCCTGCTTCGCGTTCGAAGACGAGCCATTGTTAATGTTAGGTAGGTTAGTAGACAAGCACGGGGCAAACATTGATGATGATAGGCTTACGTCTATATTACGCATGCCTGCCCCGACTAATCAAGATCTTCTGCGATCACGGTACCACACGATCGGATACTGGCAGGAATATATCCCTAACTTTGCGAGGATCTTGGCTCCGATCTCCGAGCTGTTGAAGGAGAAGGCCGTCTTTGACTGGAGGTTAAAGCACCAGGAGGCCATGGATGCGGTGTTGGTTGAGCTGGCAGCGAAAGCAGTGCTAGTGGAACCAGAAATCGATGATCACTTGGAGTTATACTGTGACGCGTGCGACTCGGTCGGAGTGGCTGGGGGATTATTCACACGCAGAAAGGGCAAGTTGAAGCCGGTAGGATTCTGGTCTTCCAAGTTCAGCGACGCCCAGAAGAGCTACCACATAACGGACAAGGAGGCCCTGGCGATAGTATACAACCTGCACAAGTCATGGAGGATTGTGAGGAGGTCACGGCACCCGTTGATAATTTATACCGATCATGAGGCACTGATGGCTATGTGAGAGAATGAACCGCACGAGTATGAGGATTCTGTACGAGGCAGGCGTATGCAGCGCTATGCACAGATTCTGCGGGACTTTGACCTGGTGATCAGGCATGTCCCAGGCAAAGATAGCTCGGTTGCTGACGTTCAATCGCGGTTGGGGTATCATGTAGACCCCATAATGCGTGCGGAAAAGACTGTGAATTCTACCGAGAAGCGACGCGTGACGTTCTCGGTCCCAGAAGTAAACATTTCTCAGATGGAGGAATATAGCTTAGCTATGAAGTGGTTCAAGAAAGCATGGGATAGACTAGGCCCGTTTGACGCTGAATGATTTGCTCAAGCGGGCATCAAACTGATGAGCACTTTCTTTTCGCCTAGCTTGGCAGGAGGTGTCTTCTCGCTGCTGACTTGGTTTGGAATCAGGTGGTATATGAACTCACCTTGGTCAAAGCTGCCTGTGGTTATTGAACGGATAGAAAAGGATGCGGCTACGGCCACAGTGGTTTGCCCGTATTTCCCGGAAGCCCCTTGGTTTCAGTGCATGATACCGCTTTTGTCGGATGAACCGATTGTCATCCTCCCCCAGGCAGGCGTGTTCCGCAAGCATGGCCGGGAGGACATGTCACCGCCTCACTTCATCACGTTGATTTGTCACCTCAGTCCAAGGCAGTTTAAGCTGCGACCTTCTTTCTGGACCGAGCTGGAACGCAAGAGGGCGTTGCCTGAGGGCGTAGTGGGGGCTGTTACAGCTGGCGCCAAGCAATTGAAGTCGTGCATCAAACAGGAGCAGCCGATCCCGGAGTCCAAGCCAATTCGGGTAGGACATGATCCGGTGTTATGTGCGTTTAACCTGGAACCGGAAAAGCATTCAGCTACCTCGGCCACCTTTGTCACGGACTCGAGGCCGTTCTCTCAGAAAAGACTGGTCATGGCTTTTGCAAAAGCTGATTTACGTCAAGCGGTCAGGTTGACGAGCCTCCGCTGGCACAGAAGCCAGGTTGGCTGGCAGGTCACAAGGCGTATGTGGACTGGTGTGCTGCGCGGTTGCATGAATTAGTGTAGCAGACGAAATTGGAAGGTCCGAACTATGAGGTAGTTCCCATGGACATTGATGAGCCTGTGGAATCTGTGGTGTTCGGACCGCAAACAGAAAAGGACGCTCTGGATGATATCCATATATATATATATATATATATATATATATATATATATATATATATTATGTGTAGGTAGGGTGGTAGTAGTAGTTAGTAGTAGTAGTATAGTACGACTAGT